CTTCGCTCGCTTTTTTGGGGGAATGAACCACAACTGTGGGACAGGTGTTCACTTCTATGAACCTATAAGGAACGGCGAACGTCACGACTTTGCACCTTTGCAGCGAGTAGTTATTCGGCGGAAGTCAACAAATAGTACTAAGGAGAACACGGAAATAAGGAATCGTGACAACCAAAACACTTTTTTAGCCAAGCAATATATAACCTCGGAAATGTAATAATTTGAAGCAACTTAAAAAATGCCTTTAGAAAAGTTCTTCTAGATTGAGATATGAAGAGCATTCGGCAAAATCTACTAATCTTCATACACAAACTGTTATTGACTCGATATTTATAACCTACATTTTCATTGAAAAAACGAACTCTTGAGATAATTTTGAAAGGATCGTCAGAAACTGGAAACTCAAGAATGTATTAGCATCACAATGACATCAAAAATTAAGCTATCATCTTGTTATTTTCGACTTTCTGTAGCCTGCTGGTATGCTTCTGATTGTGGTTTCGGAAGAACATAACAGAGCAATCAAATTCTTTAAAGTTTGTACTAAGTTAATCAAAAAGACAGTTTTCAAAAGGATGTACCAATTCTTTTGCATAAAGTGTCAAAATAATCGAAAATTTTGAAGAGAAATTCCTCGTAAAAAGCCACAAAGAAAATCAAAAAAGATTTGCAGATTTCATTGATTCCATCTGAAAATTAAATAGTTTCGGCTACAGCAAACTCAAGTTAAGCAATTTTGTGCAAGTCTTCAAACCATATTGTTTTTGCCATTTCACTCATCGTCTAAGCAGCACCTGAGAAGTCATACACAACCAGGAAGCTCTTCAGCTTCATACTTATACAATTCTATCATATATTTGGAAAGTTCCTCCTTTCCGTACTTAGCACTAACAGTGATAATCCATAAATCTCTAATCCTCCTATACTCGGCGTCAACAAGCGGTTTACCGTACTTCCTCAATTCCATATTTGGAGTGTGTGCGCGAGATGTGATAATACGGTATGACGGTAGCGAGCTATGCATATTTGGT